GTTTCACCGGGTTAGCCAGGATGGTCTCGATCTCCTGACCTCGTGATCCTCCCGTCTCGGCCTCCCAAAGTGCTGGGATTACAGGCTTGAGCCACGGCGCCCGGCAACACAGATTTTTAACTGACTGGTTGGTTTGTGTGACACAAAAATTTGCCAAAAATTTTTTTTTACTGAAATAATCTAATATTTTACACTGTAGTCTAAAAAACTGTGGAAACTCTATGTTTCGTTACGTCAATTATTACCTGTTTATGTTTTGACCATAATTTCTTTGGAAGAGCAATTTTGTGAAAATTTGTTTAAATTCTTTTGACTTTGATAGAGCATTGATTATAATCCTTTTTCTGGTAGCCCAATTTTATTTAATTCTTTTTTTTTTTTTAGAGACGTGATCTCACTGTGTTGCCCAGTCTGGTCCCAAACTGCTGGGCTCAAGCAGTCCTCCCACTTCAGGCTCCCAAGGTGCTGGGATTACAGTTGTGAGCCACCATGCCTGGCCCTCCAGTAATGTACTTTTTTTCTATCAGGAATGTGTGAATTAAACACACAATTCAATTAAATTCATGTTGTAGGATAGTGTGTCTCTATTCTCTTCCTTTTGTAATGACATGAAGACAGATGTAGATTACACTGATGTTTCTTTTTAAGGTGATAAAATTTTTTGTTGTTGTTTTTGAGACAAAGTCTCACTCTGTTGCCTGGGATGGAGTGCAGTGATGTTATCACGACTCACTGGAGCTTGACCTCCCTGGGCTCAGGTGATCCTCCCACTTCAGCCTCCTAAGTAGCTGGGACCACGGGCATGCACCACCATGCTGGCTAATTTTTAAAATTTTTCTATAGAGATAGGGTTTCATCATGTTACCCAGGCTGGCCTGAAACTCCTGGACCCAATCAGTCCTCCTGCCTTGGCCTCCCAAAGTGCTGGGATTACAGGCATCAGCCACCATGCCCAGCTGACATAATTTTCAAAGAAAGTAAATACTAGGAGATTATAATTTTTGAAGCAGACTCTCTGATGTATCATTTAAACTTGTGCTTAAATTATGTTTAAATATGTAAATAAGCACATTGTAGTCTTAGGAATGCTTTTAACTACATTTATTAATTTATATTTAATATATTTATATTTTATGTATATGAATGCCTAGAAGCAAACTTTTTTGCTGTTAAAAATAATGAAGCCATGCTAGTTTTTCATTTGATTCTTCAGTGAAGAATTATAGCTATTTTTCCTTTTTTAAAAAATGAAAATTTTAGTATTTAATGATACTCTCTCTCCCACGCCCATAACCGTGTAAAAGTGCTGTTTTATATTCCTCACAGGAATTAGAGTGTGTTGGTTAATTTTTCTTTGTGAAATGGTACTATTTTTATAAACTTTATTTATTTATTTAGAGACGGAGTCTTGCTCTGTCGCCCAGGCTGGAGTGTAGTGGAGCCATCTCGGCTCACTGCAACCTCCGCCTCCCGGGTTCAAG